TGCCCCCAGCCTTCTCACCGAACTTCCATGAACTACACTCGCATCGCAGAAAGACTCAAGTCCAATGTTGTACCTAGATTCTAGAAATTTGTCCCAGACCAAAAAGAAAGAAAGAAAGAAGGAAAGAAATAAGGAAGGAAGGAAGGAAGGAAGGACGGCAGGCAAGCAAGCAAGCAAGCAAGCACCCATTTGGGGTCCATTAATCCTTATGATAAAAAATAATCTGCTACGCTTGCTTTTAAAATTGCCTACATCCTTCTTTCCTCTCCTGGATAAAGGTAGTATTGAGAGAAAGAAAGAAATGTTAGCGAGAGAGGATGTTAAACTGTGGTGGACGTAACTAGCATGGGGAGATAACGTGTGTCCCATCGCGGCACGTCTTGTGTCCATAGTACGTGACGCTCCTACTCAAATGCTTCTTCCCCGTATGTTCTGAGCTCCCCAATGCTGCTGCTTCTCCCCATACTGCCTTGGGTCCCTCCTCAACCGAGGCAGAGAGCTCAGGGGTGGCACAAGCCATTGAGCAATCAGTGCAAAGTCCAGCGGAGGGGACGCGGGATCCTCTGTGCCATGAAACGGCCCTCCGGGACAACTTCCTTGGAGCCCTCTTTAGGCCCCTCTCTGGATGGAGAGCTACTTTGCCAAACGAATTTACCCTGTTTACCTTAAATTCCTTACTATCTTCTAATTCTGCAACTGGCAGAGAAACGAATCTGTTCCCCTAGACAGTGTAGTATTTAAGTTTCAAATATCTCTCCTCTTCTTTGAGTCTCATACTCTGTGTAGATTTCCTGAGTTTCTATGTGTTAACAAATGTTGAGTGCTTTTTCTTTCCCCCAGATTGTATCATAGACAAAACTAGTGAAGCTTTAAAGGGGAAATTTTGGATTTCCCTACACTGCTTTCAGATCTTTCCCTAAAATTTTAAGACAGTGAGACTATCAGTCATCTCAAAGAGCAGCTGGACTGTCCAAGAGCAAGTTTGCCTGGAATTCTGTCCAGGCCTTGGCTTTGTCCTGTGCTATGGTAAGGAACAACCATGGAAAAACCTTGCCCTGAGTTTCAACCCGTTTTCTGAAACACGGTGAGAAATATACCTGTTTCTGTCTGAATGGCTTTTCAGGGACTCCTATTTCTTATTTTACCTATGGCTGTTGGAAATCTCACCTCTCATCTTGGTTAAAGACTTATACCCAAGGTCACAAGCTCTAGAATCCTTCCTCTTCTACAAGCAGCATGGTGGTAGGGAAGGGGAAGTTTCGACTATGTCACATTGAGGACATGTTTATTAGTAATTCCTGAGATAATTCACATCAGGTTAAGGAAGATAACTCCATGTGGTTGCTTCAACTACTTTTATAAACTCCAGGTTATAAACTCCAGGTCCAAGAAACTAGTTGTTATCCTAGCCGATTGTATTTCCATATTTCTGTATCTATGGGGCTATGGATTTATACATTTGTGTTTGCTTGGTTTTTGCTTGGCTAATGAAGAGACTGCAATTCTGTTAAGATTTAAGCAGGTGAAGGCTCTGGTGTAAATGCATAACTTCAGTATCCTGGAGTCAACAACTAAGTAAGCGCTCAGAAGTGACTCCTCGTTCATCCTTCTCCGGGGAGCGGCAGGCACTGTGCCTTGCGGGTCGTCCCTTCGCTCCTCACAGAGCCCTTGGCCGCTGGCTCAACGATCGCAGAGAATGTTACCCTCGTCCTGTCTGACCGCCTCATTCCGTCTCTATTTTAGGCTCCTAGAGTCATCTGGCTTAGAAAGACCTCTCTGATGTGTGAGCCTCGAACCGGTCTCCATGTTGAGATACCTTGGCATTCAGACTGTTCTACATCCGTCTTGTGTTTGGCTGAAACAATTACTGCCCCTTGGTTTGGAAATACATTGAGCAATTGTAATGATTTCTTACATTCAGGCTATTTTCCATAGGGGAAGAGATTACCAACTTCTTGGCAGAATACTTTCTTCCCCCCGCCCCCAATAGTTGGTGCAGTTTGGCCCTAGTAAATCCCAAGAGGTTCCTTATTTTAAATGGAGGACATTCAAGACCTTACCTTCTTTCCAATTCATTCTTGCTCTGGTGTCTAAGCACTTTAAGCTAAAAAGTCTCCATCCTGCCTATCACAGATGTTTTTATTTTACTTATATGTGTTGTTCCTGGTGCTAAAAAGGATGTAAAAATATGGTACTTCCTAGACACACTGATTGTCACTGCTAAAAAACTGGGTGGGATATTGAAAATTAAGAATGCCCTAAAAATTGTGCCCTTCTTGGGGATCATCCCTATGCCAACCTCTTACTCAGATAGGTTCTCTATCAGCTTTAATGATGACACACGTGCTATTCCCTCAATTAGACTACAAGCGTCTTCAGGACAAAAAGAACAGATCCCACGCCCCTTACCTAGTGTAGCTGATGATGGTAGCTCCGTGCAGTCTCATCAGTTGCAGAAGCAGATGACATTGCATTCTCACCACAGCTGTTTGGGATTAGGAGCTTGCAAAAGTAGCCTAACATTAAAGTAAAGGCAGATTGGAGAACAGCATTCTGCTCCTTCCCTCCAGAGAGTAGTTCAAGCCAGGCCTGGAGTAGATCTATGTTGAGAAGAAGCATAATTACCTTGGTCCAGAGTGGCCCCAGGTCTTGTCTAGCAGACTGAGTTATATCTATCAGGGCCTTTTAAAATGCTGACTTGGCTCCCTAGAAATACAAAACCCCCCAGCATCGTTTATAAAGGTCACTGGCAACGACCTGGGTCAGAATAACTTCAGTCCGTTTTGTGCCAATGTCATGAAAGAGGAAGTGGCTGAATACTTAGATAAGCTCCTTGAGAGTACTATATTGCTAAATCCAAACAAAGGAGGAGAGAGGTTTATAGCTGAGTTTTTACTCTATAATTCAAATGCCAATCTAGTAGTGAAATATGCTCTAGGAACTCCGATCAGAGATTTTTGTCAGGCATGGAAGCCAGCTGTGCTTTGGGTGAGTATGGATTTACCACCTGCAGAAGTGTAATTCAGAATTAGGCAGAGTAGAAGATTTTGAGGTCGGGTGAGGGATACAGCTTACTATTTTCAATGCAGTGAGAAATAGCTCCAGCTCAAAGGAAGTCGTGGAGAATCAAGAGCCTTTAAATTCGGGAATCCAAGTGTACTAAAATAACTAGGATGCTTTAAGATAAGAAGTGAAAACTACAATTTGGTAAAGATTATCTTCTAAATAAAACCAACAAGATAACAATTAGCTGCAATTTTAAACTAACAATTTCCTTCCCAGAAAGTTATTATTTGTGAGTTTATATATCAAAGCCTTTCAGATGTTATTATTTTAAAAGACTCTCAGAGCTCTCCTGGAAGTCAGTGCATATGGTCCTGATATCGCTGAGCTCCCATAGCTTTCATTGCTCCTGCTCCTCGCACACATGGGCTACAGCTGCCTTGATATGAACTTGATGCAATATGATTTTGTCACTTATATCATCACCTGAGCACTCAGATACCACCCTAGAAAAGGCAAGCAAGATAATGGCTTCAGTGGCCCTTTTATAGCCATATTCGAAAGCATTTTGCACGCACACACACACACAATGCTTGAATGTGTTATAAAGCAAAATGGTTAAGCAGAGGGAGACAGCGAACTTTACAGCCTGAGAGATGCAGGCTGCACATGCATCACGAGTATGGCGTGGTGCTGAGTGCAGTGGCACATTCGGGGACATGAAGCCAAGGCCAATGAGTTACAGTGAGGCCTTGTGTTTTGTTTTTGTTTTTTTAGGCAGGTGCTGGTCTGGCTACTCAGGAGGTTGTGATCTGAAGATCATAGTTCAAAGCCAGGGCAGGTAGGAAAGTCCAGGAGATGCTTATCTCCAATTAACCACCAAAAACCTGGAAGGGGAGCTGTGGCTCAAGTAGCAGAGCACTGACTAGCTTTGACAAAAAAGCTCAGAAACCGTGCTGACCCTGAATTCAAGCCCTTGAACAGAAAGAGAGATAAATTGGGGTGGTGACGGGGAGAGACAAGAGAGAGAGGACAACACAGAAAAGAAAGACAAGGGAAAGGCAAGGGAAGGGAGGGGAGAAGGGGAGGAAAAGAGGCTCTTTGGACAAGCTCCCCACTATAAAACGAGATGGCCTTGTAACGGTGCTGTGGTTCAAAGTGGTAGAGCACTAGCCTCGAGTGAAAAAGCAGAGACAGCACCAGGGCCCCAAGTTCAAGCCCCACAACTGACCAAAACAACATCAATAGCCTAAAATGAGATGGCCTGAACAGATGAGTCCTCATCCAACTAATTCTGTTCATGAATTTCAACTCTCCATACAGTTTACAAGTCCTTACAGTGAGATTTGAGATAGTATGTACTTGTATTTAAGGAATAGTTTGAGACTTCATTTATTAACTACTTTTCTTTAACAGAGGCTCAGAGCAGAGTGAGCAAACTTTTACCTGTAAGGTAAAAGACACATGCTGCTTAAGAATGCTTACTAAATTGCTTGAAATTTGTTTCTTTTATAGTAAAACAGACACCACACTATAAATACATCAGACTTGTTTACTGCTTAGAAAAATAAATGTCTTGTGCAATGCTTTCAATACACAATTTATATATATGTTATTCATAAATAAAAACAGCACTGCACTGTCTATATGCTTTTTAGACAAATCAGTAATGGAAATTTCAGTTTCAACTCGAATTATAAAAAAGTACAAAGCTCATCCACATTATCAGAAGGTAACAGTCCCAAACAAACTCACTTAAAATAGGGTAGCCATGGGCTGGGAAGGTGGCTCAGTGGGAGAGCACTTGCCTTGCACGCATGAGGCCCTGGGTTCAATTCCTCAGCACCACATAAGAAAAAAGAAAAAAGCCGGAAGTGGCACTGTGGCTCAAGTGGTAGAGCACTAGCCTTGAGCTGAAGAGCTGAGCTGAGGGACAGCGCCCAGGCCCAGAGTTCAGGCCCCACGACCGGACCCCCCCAAAAAATAAATAGGGTAGCCATAACTTTTCCACAAGTTCTTTTCACGACTTAAAATGTAACCTGATATAGATCATAATTTAAGGTAACATTGACATATTTGAGACATTATAAATCTTATATACACATTCACATATAGCACAATGTCATGAGCAAGTATCAGTAATAGGTAATTAACCAACTACTAAAGTAAAAAAAAACATTTTTAACAATTTAAATGCTTTGTGATAGGATAATTAATGCCCAACAGATAACTTTAGAAAGAAAAGACATCGTTTGGATAATCAAAAGTAATGAGATTTTATATATATATATATATTTATCCTTCACTTTAGAAATGAGAAATTATCTAAATTTAACTCATTGAATTTCTTGACTAAAGAAAACAGACTACATTAAAATTAGACATTTACATATGTGTATATATGTCAACTAACATTCAGGTTATAACTAAAACCACTTAGTGTAAAATTGAAGGCAAAAGCTTCACTTGCCTAGTTATTTACATAAACTATAGTTTTAAGCTATGTTTGGCAGCTCTAGTAAGATGTAGATAATTCAATCTACTACTTTTGTTGTTCTCTTCCAGACTCCTACAAAGTAATTTCTGTATCAATAATCACATGAAACAGTATTCTCAATGTTTTTCTCACAAGACAAATGAGTCTGATTGGCTATTATCGTTCATATATGGTTGAAAACAGCCTAGCTCTGTAGTTTTTCTCCTTTTTTGATTTTTCCAAATGCTGGGGCTCAAACCCATGGCTTCAAACTCTTTTATCCTTTTAAGTCAGTCATTTTAGCTCAGTATAATAATTTTAAAAATGGAATTAAAATTAAGGTGAAAGATGCCCCCTCATTATAAAATTACCATCATTCTGAACTTTGGAAGAGTCAAACATAATATACAGTTTGAAAGAGGCTTTTATGAGGGGTGAGAATATACTCTACCATAGAAGGTGTAATCAACTTACTATCACATTAATTGCAAAGAACACTGGCACTTCATGATGCCAGAGCAGCGGAAATGTTACTAACGCCCTGGTTTGGACTTTCTGGACTGCGAGGAGGGGCTCTATGGGCACTGTCGCACTGCCTGCCTGCCTCTGGAGAGGCAGCTCGTTCATGAGGACTACTGCTCTCTTTGGCGAATTCTACTGCCACCCTCTGCCCGGCAGATGGACGCGGCTTCTCCTCGGAACCCGCCTGTTTCCTCGCTTCTGCTTCCTGTTCTTGAAGCAATCTTTCCACCTCCCCCTCCAGTTCCAAGGTCTCCTCGTCGGCCTGTACATCCAGTTGCTGCATCAGCTCCTCCAACTTTTTGGCCTTCCGGAGCTCGTTTTGCTGTATGATTGTACAAAGGTGTTCTGTGAGTTGTTCTTTTATCTCGGTCTTGCGCTGCAGATCTAGCTTCGCAGTAATGTACTCAGCTTCAGCCCTGTCAAAACGCTTTCTGTATCAGGACAGATACACAGATTGGCCCATTAGGGTTAGACACTCAAGAGACAGTGTGGAAATAATAAACTCTAATTGGAAAAGAAATGCACAGGGCAGCGTGGATATTAATACCGTCTGAACTCTTGTCTCCACACCCGATAAACTACGTCACAGATGCAGGGCCTTTCACAGCTTCCTTATTTGGATTCATCTCCTACAACAGCACTCTTCTGCACGCAGTTCTTTCCAAAGCTGTGTTTGTGTGCAAACAGGCTTATTTTAGTTCGGTAGTGTGTTAGCTCTGGGATGAGGGTGGAAGGTGGGGAACTGATTGACAGCTTTGTGAAGCTTCTGTGGTATGCACATTCCCCTGCTGGCCAGTTTCAAACTACTGGCATGACATCTTTAAATGTAGGATTGGAGAAATGTACAAGGTCCGCTAGTATGAGCTAGCACTAGCTAGCTGAAGCCCACAACTGGTTAAATGCATGAGAGGTAAAGCAAGAGCTGGAGCAAACAGAAAACTTGCACCTAATGTGTGGATTAGAAAAGTAAGAAACATTTTGAAGAAGGCTCTGGAAGGTAGTGGGTGGTGAACATGAACAGGACAGAACACACAAAACAAGACAACAGCAGGTGAGGGAGAGATGTGAACCCCAAGTGGAATGGAAAGCTTGAGTACAGATTTAGCAGGGTTTTTCTTGTTGCTGACAACTTGGGCATGCGATCTGTCCTTGTGCAGAGCTGCCAGCTCCTGACAGGATCCTGTAGCACCACTCGCTTCTGCCCACTAGCTGCTAGAGCAACCCTGCAATCATGACAACCCAAAATGTCTCCAGATATTCACTGCCAAACATCTCTTGATGGACAAAATTATTCTCAGCTGAAAAAAAAGAATTCCCGGGTTAAGTTTTTCTTATAGTTTTTTCTTTAAGTTTTTCTGCAGTTGGCAGCAACAGATACCCGTCACGCTCTGATTAGGAAGTTTTATGGGCTGAGGATATAGCTCAGTAGCAACAAGCTTACTTAGCAGGCACAAGGTCCTGGCTTCAGTCTTATTTTTTGGTGGTCAAATTTGAACTCAGGGCCTTGTGTTTTTGCTTGGCAAATGTTCTACCTTGGGAGTCACACCTCCAACCCTGTTCTGAGCTGGCTATTGCTTAGGCACACTCTTTGCCAGTTGTGCCTACTTTAACGCATGAAAGGCAGGCTTGCGCCTCCCCCACACTGAGCTAGTTCTACTGAAGGTCTTGCTCAACGAGGACAGCTGGAATGGAGGGGCAGCTCCAACAGCCCCTTTCTCTTCCTCTTCCGGTAGGTTAGGTAGAAAAAGAAAAGTTACCACATCTGCATCCATTACCTCTTGCTTTTCCTACATCATGTGTGACTTTTAGCAACAATGAAGGTTCTTCCTCTCTTCCAAGAAAAAGAGACTGATTTCTATTTGCCAACTCATTCTCAAGTTAATTAGCTGTGGAGGCCATGTTGGCTCCCCTTACCATTACCCACTATTTAAACCCAGGAAGGAAGTAGTTTTTAGTACGTTAGAACAAATAAAGTTCTATCTCCTAATGTAAGACACAGTCTTGGAAAGAAAGATAGTGAAAATCATAAAAGGTTTTGACTTTAGAGAACTTGGGGCTCAAAAGTCTCTGGTCATTTCCTGCTTTGGTCTTTGGATACAAAGAACCAAGTATCCTGCCAAACTAGCTCAGGGAAAGAAAAATTAACTTTATTGAAAGACATAGAGGCAATATCGTACGCAAGTCATCAGAATCAGGCGTTTCCTCAATACGTAGAAGCCATTCCTTTCTCTGACTTGAACTCTCTGTCAAATTCGTAGCCTAATACGGTTACAGTTGGAGGCTCTACAACAAATCCACTTCCCTCTGCCAGTGATCCATCTCACGCCTCCTGAAGGAGTACCTTGGTTAGCCTGACCCAGAGAACTCTTACTGTCGGTGGCTGGAAGCTGCTTGTTAGCCTACGGGTGAAATGTCTTACAAGTGATTTGCCCATCTCTGTTCTAACCAGGTGTGTCCTAGGGTCAAAATTTGGAGTAAAAGACACAGGCGGATCCCTGTGGAAGGGGTGGAAGTAGAGGCGAAGATTGAAAAGTTCAGTTCAGTGATCCCGGGCAGTTATCAGCTGAGTTTGGTGAGTTTATCTATAAATATAATAATGAGGATGATATCATCATCTTAGGAGTGGCCTAGGATTGAACAGTATCAATAGGCCAGACACCTCGCCTACTGGTACCCGAGAAAGATAATTCTCCTTTTAGAGTACCTTTTCAAAGCATGATTATTAGTAAGCAAGTGTCTAAAAGTTAAGATCATGGTGTTCATACTTGAAATCTGTACTCATTTAACAATATTTTCTGTTTTTAACTGTCTCACAAAATAAACCTAAGGAGAACAATCTTTATTAGCTGAGTACCTATAGAAATCAAAATTGTGTGTGTGTGTGTATGAATATCTTACCGGCTTCTACCCAATTTCCCTTTTCTACAAGTTTGTGGGCTCCCTCCGCCAAAGTATGTTAGTAGAAATTTACAGACTAGTTTCATGAATACTGAATTGAAATTAACATTTGAGAATAGGTCCCATTAGTTAATTGCAAATTAACATGTGCTAAAGCTGTTTGCAAATAGCTTTTCTATTGATCTTTCACCCTAGATAAATCACTGAAGTTTTTGTATTTTGTTTTTTTTTAAGTCCCTCTGGTCAGAAACATGCATCTATATTCTCGTACAGAGTGATTTATGTTTGAAATATTGATTAGTTTCACACACTGCGCTATTAGCCTGGGGGGCTGGATAATTCCAAATTAAGAGTGTGATGACATACTGTGGAACAGAATAATAAGAGCATTATGCATAACAGAGCAAGACATATTGAACTGGAAATGTAATTACAGAATTGTTTTGTTATTTAAAGGAACACTGAATGATTTCACAAATGTTATTTAAAGGATTTAGAAACTGTCTTTTGGTTTTAGTATCCCTGAGATTTAAAAAAAAAAAAAAAGCGAAAAAAATTACAATCATTAACCCCTGGTATACTATCAGATTAGTTTGTTGGTTTTTTAGTTTCTAAGTTGTTTTACCTATTTTTATGGATAAATATATCACATTTATACTTTCCTAGAAGTCTTTCAATGGACAAGAAAAAATATTTTAAAAACCTGTGTTAAAATGGATTGTGTTTTACAATGATTACGATGGGTCAATGAACCCTTTTACACATCTGAACTAGATTAGGGACTGGAAGTCATTTTCTCTCTCTTGACATATTTTGCCATCTTATCGCACTAGCAGTGTTTTCATCATTACTCAAAAACTACCCATTTGTGCTAAAAATTAAAACAGTAAGAAGCCAGAGACTGATGAGACGATGTGAAGAGATACAATAGTGAAGTAAATTATTATCATTGCTTACTTATCTAAATGCTTTATTTCACCTCAAAAAGGTATTAAAAACAAGCCAAAAGGCATGCATCATCTGTTAACTTTCACTGCAAAGAGTTGAGAATTATTTCTCATTTATTACACATATTGGCAACATATAGAAAACTGACAGAGGAGGACCTTTTACTCTTGTGAGAGAAATCCGAAGATCACTGCTGTGGCGGCGAAACATGGCCTTCCAAAGCCAGCACTCACTTTGGAGTTTATGGAACTCGAAGTGAGTATTACTTTATATAAAACATTACCTTGCAGGAAAAGCATGTGAGTAAGCACCGTGAGGAGTTAAGGCACCAGCTGGGCTAGAATGCGATCTCAAGTATTCTCTGAAGATGGACGAGGAGACTACGTCTCTGGGGCCGCACAGAAGGGAGCGGAGTGGCCATGGTTAGCATCACTTGGAGCCTCACATGGACGCCCGCGGTGTCTGCGGAAGAAGAGCCTCCAGGCACCTGGACTTTGGATGTCTAGCCTCCAGAAACACGAGAGAAAATTCCTGGTATTTCAAAGCACTCCGTGTGCGGTAATTTGTTAGGACATTACTAAGAAACGAGTGCAATACTGAGATATACTCTCTAGAATGTGAGGGATGACCCTGACAAGAAAAGGGAAACTCAGATCGTGAATCTTGTGCAAAACCCAGGCAGGTGAATTGCGTCAAACTCAAGAATCAATGAGTGAAAATTATACCTCTAAGGATTAAAAAAATAAAATAAAAAGAGAAATGTGATATTCCCATGCAGTGGATAATCATTTAAACAGGAAGAACTTAATCAGCCAGTATTTTCCAAGTAACCGGCTCTCTCCTATGTTGCTAAAAGAACGTAGCTACATTTTTTTCATCCTTTAATGTTTGAGTCAAACTTGACCTGAAACAAAGAGGTTTATTGTGCTTATAGTCTTATAAAGTTACCTTCCACGATCCTATTATTTTTACTTCTGTCAATTATTAATAAGATGACTTAAAAATGTGTGTATGTGTGTATATATCCATTACACTAGATGACAAGGACGAGTGTTTTTCCTGGTAACAAAGGGTTCGAAGCGTGGCTCTTTCTGCATACCCCACACTGTAAGGAGCAGCACGGGCCACAGCTGTTCACAGAAGCGCAGCAGCTCGCTTAAGTTGGCAGCCACTATCCTAAGTTGCTCTGCATGTGCCTCGCTTGTTACCCAGAACTTTTGTGGACAGTACTGTGCCAGTACTAAGGCAGTCCAGGGATCCCCTCACGGACGCTGAATCCCCCAAGTGCTGCCTTCTAGCAGAGTCTGGACAGTGACTGTGTTTGTAGTGTTGGGGCGGGCCATGCCTGTGCAGTGAGCCGCCCCAGCCCTGGGTCATATTCTCAATCTGGAATTCCTCAGCAACTATGAAGGCACATTAGAAAAGGTTGTCTCAGTCTGATGCATCAACAACACCAAAACCAGGTTCCACTTCTAAGAGCACAGGCTTCTTCGGTTTTGGTCTTCTGAGTCAGGGTTTCGCTGTATAATCCAAGCTGGCCTTGAAACCTCTTGGTAACTCAGGCTAGCCTGGAATTCACAATTCTCCTGTGTTTCTACTAAATGCTGGGATTACAGGTATGCACCACCATGCCTGGTATGAGCTTAGGCTTTAAAACCAGCCTCATCATTTACATAAAGTATCTGTTTACAAAAAGTAACATGAGTAGCAGTATCATGAAAAACTGACATTATTAACTCATTAAAGATGCAAAATATATCATGTAAAATATTTTTACTATGCATAAATTTACTAAAATTTCATTAAGAACATTTACATAATGCAGGTTATTTTCTCCCCTAATAATTCCACCTTCTTCATGGGCTAGCATTGTGAGGTATAATGTCAGAGTACTAATCTCATGTAATATTAATATGAAGTATCCTTCCCCAGCCTCCACTATGACAGAATTAAAACAAAATCAAATTATAGTTCCAGCCACAGCACCTAGTACTATACCTGACACTATGAATTATTTATATGAAAGGCTGTAAGACTATAAAGGTGACTCATGAGAATAAAATGTACCAAAAATCAAGGCTTAGTTTACTCTTAAAAAATCTTGGTTAGCCTCTTAACAAGTTTATTTTTATTAGTAGAATCTGGAGTATTTATTTATCAGACAATGATGACATTGATTTAGGTTGTTAATTAATAAAGGCAGTCCATTTGGTCAAAAAACAATTACAAAAAAATCACAAGGACAACCACAAACCTCTTTCCTAAACACTGAACAGTGAATTAAAAGCCATCATCAAGCATTTCCGCTTTATTAAATTGTTACATAAACATTCTGATGTTGTGGTTCACCCTGGACTAATGAGGCGTTCTGATTGATTTCTAGTGTTACAGAGAAAGATGCAAAACAGAGTCATTAACACAGAATTCCCTTGTGAGAAAGACAAACCAGGATGATTAAAGCAATGCTGAAGGGACTTGAAAACCCTGAAATTGGAATACTTTTTTGCCCTTTTATCTCTTTGTAAGGGCCATGTAATTTTTTACATGTGCTAGTTCGTTTAAAAGCTACTCTGATTTTTTTTCTTCAGAAAAATGCCAGTGGTTGGATCCAAGGAAACATATTATATCAAACCATTTTGTACCAAGTATAATCCAAGAGACAAAACAAACCTCAAGAATCTTACGGTGGTATTTTCTTTAAAATATTCATAAGCATTAAAAAAATAAGCTAGGCCTTACTTTGATGAAAACTAAAGTGAGAATCTGGCTCCCACAAAGACTACATCAAACAGTCAAGCATTTTAAATGGAAGGGGCCTAGACTTAAGTGATAGAATAATACTGTTGGTGTAGGTCACTCAGACATTTACATGGTTAGATTCTGAAAGACCGAAGAGTGCCAAACGTTATAAATACATGAAAGTTCACCAGAAAGACTAAAATGTAAATAAATAACATAAATAATGCAGAAAATGCTCTAATAGAAACTTACAACAGGTAGGCAGATTCTGTCACTCAAATTGGCCCAAGAGGAATAAATGCATTACTTAAGGGGTTGTTATGAGACTTAAATGATGAGTCTCATAAAACCTACTAGCTTAGCTAATATGTGTGTGTATGTACATATATAAACTATATACATATTAACTAAACGAGATCTTGTCAGAGTTTACCTTTCCAACTCACCGTGCATATGAGTAGTCCAGGCTGGCCTGATCAATGCGGTTTCTGAGGATCCCAATGTCAGCTGACACCATGTCATCTAAAGCCTGTAATTCCTTCTGGACCCGCTTTAGTTTCAAGGTCTCTGCCTGAGTTCTTTTAGATCTAGAAAATCAGGACAGTCGGGGGAGGGGAGATTGACATTTAAATACACAGATTCATACATAATATAAATTTTAAAAAGACACTATATATAATTACAGTTCATGAGTTTTTAAAGATTAGAAAAAATAGAACATATATTTTTTAAAAGCTGGTAACATTTTGGTCTACCTCTAACACTACACTGAGGGAACTTTTCCTTATTTTTCCAAATTTTCTACTAGGCCATATTATTTTCATAAATAAGGGGGGTGGGAGGGATATTTAAAAGGCCCAGGCCAATACCAGGGGTTCTGACATTTCTCATTCCCCCTCTCCCGCTCTGCAGTGCTGAAGATAAGACAGGAGGCATAAAGCACTCTGTCGCTGAACTACATACATGCCGCCCAGCCTTTGTGTTTGTTTGTTTGTTTGTTTTGGGGGGGGGTCAGTCGTGGGTCTTGAGCTCTGGGCCTGGGCGCTGTCCCTCAGCTCCTCAGCTCAAGACTAGAGCTCTACCACTTGAGCCACAGTGCCACTTCTGGTTTTCTGGTGGTTAACTGGAGATAAGAGTCTCATAAACTTTCCTGTCAGAGCTGGCTTTGAACCACGATCCTCAGATTGCAGCCTCCTGAGTAGCTAGGATTATAGGCGTGAGCCACTGGCGCCCAGCTCTAGCCCTTGGTTTTTGGAGTCTGTTTTGCCATGTGCTTGCTATGCAGCAGCCCCGACTGACCTGGAACTCAGGACCCTCCCACCTACCCACTCTATTTTAAGGGCTGGATTAGTTACAACCACGTGTCACCACGCTCAGTAAGGCATTCTTGCTAAGCCTATTTTCATTTCTGATACTTAGCAACATGAAGAACTGATTCTTCTTGCATTAAACAGCACTACTTTATATATACGAAAATATCCATTTGTCTTTCATTTTCTAAGGCTCCATTTCCCTATACTTTCATTACTTTGCTTCTTATTCTCTAGGCAAAAACTACAGATTCTCAAAACTATCTGTAGGGCTGAAAACCAATACATTTTCTTATTTCTTTATTTAGAAGTACATCCAACTTCACCCCCTCATCCCTTCTCTAGACACATTTAAGAATACAAGTCGAATACACACTATGAGACAGAATAAAGAATACAACACATCTTTCATCATGATTCCACTCATTTCAAAACCTCACACACATTCATGAGAAGAAAACCTAAACATGAAATCACGATAATGCTACTTAACATTCTTCTGGTGTTTACTGCACTATGCATTTCCTTTTCCTTCTGCAGATAAAAGTCACTTATCAGTGTGACCCTTTTACTTCAACTATTCATTATCCATTTATTAATCACCAATGATGGTGCATTTTCTTACGTTTCTGTGTCTCCCACTTCTGTGTGAAGTCAACAGCAATGGGGGCAGAACTGAACTGAACCTACAAATCTTGAGGCTCTGCTGCAGTAGCTCAGGATGGCTACACAATCCTCCTACGCTACTTTCTGAGGTGGGACACGGTCAGATGCCACCATACCCAGCCAATTCAATCAACCTCATAAAATCCCTGGCAAACCATCTCCCCACTTCAGCTAGACTGAAGAGTACTAAAATGCCTTTTGAAAAGCAATTGATTGTCGGGAAAAATCTATTTCCTGTGTCTCAGGAGAGATCCAGGTTGAGAATTTTTTTTTTTCAAATACATACACACTTCTGGTAAAAATTCTGAATTACTGGCTCAGGCCTGTCATCCTAGCTACTCAGGAGGCTGAGATCTGAGGATTGCAGTTCAAAGCCAGCCCGGGCAGGAAAGTCTGTGAGATTCTTTTCTCCAATAAGCCACCAGAAAACCAGAAGTGGCACAGTGGCTCAAGTGGTAGAATGCTCACCTTGATCTGAAGAGCTGAGGGACAGTGCCCAGGCCCAGAGTTCAAATCCCACGACCGACAAAAAAAAATAAAATTCTGAACTACTCTTACATCCACCTAACCTTCCTCTCATCTCCTCTGTCTCTCTATATACTCCAGCCTCAATAGTAATAGTTTTGCAGACCTCATTAAAGGTTTTAAGAAGGAAATCCTATCGAATGCTTGCTTGAATTCAATTGACACTATTTCAACCACGCTGTAGTGTTTAACCTTGACCTCTAAACCATGAGAGACTACAAACCACAAACTAAAAGGACAAAAAGAGCAACGGCCACGGAGAAACAGCTCAAATGGGAATGTGGCTGTTTGAGGCTGACACAAGGATAGAACGGAGCTTGGAGGCATCCGAAAACGCACAGCTCAGGCAAAGATTTAAACAGCTTAAATACACATTCAACTTACATTATCTTACATATATGCTGTTCATACACACTTTGATTTGTAACAATATAAGTCACTTGTGTAGAATAACCTGATTCCCTGACATGCCAGATGATAAACTTGAATTTGTTTCTTGTTGGTATATACTGAGAGCTGTCCACTGCTCTCCTTGAGAATGCATGCATGGTCACAACGGAAAAAAATGGATGCCAGATCTTTCTTTTTTTTTTGGTCAGTCATGGGGCTTGAACTCTGGGCCTGGGCATTGTCCTTCAATTCAAGGCAAGCACTCTACCATTAGAACCACAGCACCACTTCCAGTTTTCTGGTGGTTTATTGGAGTTAAGAGTCTCAGGGACTTTCCTGCCCAGGCTGCTTTTGAACTGCAGTCCCCAGATCTCAGCCTCCTGAGTAGCTAGGATGACAGGTGTGAGCCACCGGCACCTGAGTGATGCTAGATCTTAATTGTAGCTGTATTTATAAGGTCACCTATGCTTCAAAAATTCTCTTAATAATTAAAAGTAGGATTTTTATAACACTTCTAAAACAGCTTATAGCTAGTCTTAGAAGTATTAGAACAGGAACAGGGTAATAGAATTGAAACATGAAAGGAACAATGTATAAACAAGCTCCCCTGTTTTAGGTGCCTCACCTTTCTGCAATAGCTTTAGCCAAAAGAGCTTTCTTACGTTTATTTTTCTCTTCCATTAGGCGTTGCTCTTGCTGAAGAACTTCCCAGCGAGATTTTTCTTGCCTAGGGAGAAAAAGATACAGAAATTAATTTATGAAAGACAGTCCTGTCCTGCCCACACCTCACAAGTCTGCCTCCGATGTATAAAATTTAACCACGCAGATCACGTGTATTTTCTTTCAAAAGTCCTCCTATAAGACCCATCTGCAGCTCATTCTTCTGTTTAATAGGAACAAAGACAACGATCTGAAGTAGAAAAAGCTTACACAAATAAGACCTTTGAAATCCATTAAACGTGCATAATCTAGAAACCCACAAACTGGAAACCGGAGTACTGGGGCAGTTTCTTAGAAGTACAAAGAAATGTGTAAGTTAATTATGTGTTATAGGCAAAAGGAAGAGCAAAATAAGTTGGTCTGCAGCTGATATGTCATAGTTTGTAGGTTCCTCTAGCGCAAAGTCCCTCTAACGTCGTTAACATAATGGTCAACGATTTCATGTGTTTCTTTCAATTTGCTTCACTTTTTTCTAACTCTTAAAACATTTTAAAATGTAATGAAGCACTATGAGCTAAAGCCCAATTTAACTGGGCTAAAGAAAAACTTCAAAGATCTAGATACACATATTGTCTTCCAATCTATCCAATTCTGAGAGAAATATATCAAAATTTCCCATAAAGTCATGAAGTTGGTGCCAACTCAAATTAAACAAGGTAACAGAACACTATTTATTCCTGTCATTGGCATTTCTTACAGCCATTATTTTAAGTTTTTACTCATAAACTAGTAACCACTTCCAGGAGTCCCCTCTATTCCTACAACTTTCTACCTTACGATTGCAGACATCTCCTCATGCTCCTTTGTTCCAGGTCACCGACACCTTCTGAAATGGTAACACTGCCACCTGGCCTATCTGTAGTCATTACTTGGATCAGGACAGTTTTTCCCTCTGAGGCTTTGTTATCATGCTGCATCAGTGAGCTCACACACTATCCCTTTCCTCCTTTATTGCTCTATTAGTCTCTGGTCTCCCCTTTGCCCCTCTCAGAGAAGTGAGATCATTATCGTAGAGCACAGGTAGGAAACATCCTTCTTTTGCTATGCTTATAACCTTAGAATTTCTTTTTATCAAGATCCATGTTTCTTGGTTCCTCAAATCCCATGCTTCTATGAATTTTCTCCCATACATCTAATAAAAAAACCTAGTTTTCCTTATTACATCCAACCTAAATTGTTCACTTCAATCATTTTCAAGGCAAGTCTAGGCTTCAAAGGAAAACCTTGCTGCTAAAAATACAAAACAAATTACCTAGCTCAACTTAAACTCATTCCCCCTCCAACTGGTGTGAGGCATTTGTTGGTAGAATATACTTCAAGATATTTAACTATATGCAATATTTCAATGTTGGATTCATAACTCACGTAGATTCCTATCTCTTGACAAAATGAATTTCTTAGTTTTAAAGTCCCAACAAGCAGAAAACATGTTAAACTCATAGTCCAGAATATCATGGGTCAACAGAAGTTGGAAATACCAGAAATTAGAAAAGATATTTGCAAAATCTCATTAGAGTAAACAAAAAGAAACACTATCCTTTCTCTAATATTTCTTTAACAATTTCAGAATGGCAATTTCCATCAGTGTGGCCAAACAGAATCATAAGGTTCTAATACAAACACATTAAAGGATAAAAAGGGAGGTGTGCTGTGGTTCAAGTGGTGGAGCGCTCGCCTTGAGCTGAAGAGCACAGGGACAGCAGCCAGGCCCAGCGTTCAAGCCCCAGGATAAAAAAAAGAAAAAAAAAAGAGTAAAAAGGCATTTGATTCTGCAGCTAAATTACGTACTTGTCTCCTGAACTTCCTATACTTCTTCCTATGACTCTACCTTCGGGTCTCCTCTACAACTACCTTTTTCTGGGCTCATGAAACCCCATCTGGAAAATGAAGAACAGGTTCAATCTGAAGTGGCACTGGGCCTAGAACTGCTTCTGCGGATGACTAGGGCAGACTCTGAACGGAGAGACTTACACGTGAATCTTCACTCTTAATCATTAGTTGTGTATCAGCCTTAGGAGGATTTTCTTGAAACATTTTTTAGGTAGGGCCTCCTTATATACCAGGAACCTACCTGATCTCACTCAGGATCTACCTGACTCAGCCTCCTAAGGATTACTATGATAGCTAAAATTACTGATGTGTGTACCACCAAGTCAAGTATTAGGAAGATAATATCTTTTCTGTGTCTTGGGTATCTCAGTTATGAAGCAAAACCAATCAATATCACTATAAAACTGCTGTGAAGATTGACAGGAAACATCAAAATGCTTAACAAACCCTGAATTTTATTCACATGGTAATTTCTTTTCAGTAGTTTGCTAATTACAATTCTAGGCTTGAATATAAACTAGAGAACATGTAAAATAAATCAACAAGTTCTATTTCCTTAAAGCTCAATGGGGAGAAAAAGGTAAAACAGGAAAAAAGTCTTGCAGACTTACTAACAATTCCACTTTCTTTTCCTCCAACTTGCAATCTGGCTTTGGAGGGGGAACCTCAGGACTTCTGTGTCCATCATGGGAATTCTCAAGTCCTGGTTCCCTGGGCTGGCTTTCGGCACCTTGTGGCTGTCCATCAGCAACTGGAGTGGGGGGTGTAGGAGGATGGGGAAGTGCAGAGGAAGAAGAATGAGCGTTCTGAAGGTGAAGTCTCTGTTTTGCTGCAGAAAGCAGCTGCTCTGGAGGCAATGACGTAGACCCATCTTGAAGTCCGAGTTTTCGGCTTTGTTCTAGAAGGGCTTTTTCTCGTTGAAGTTGTTGCCGACTTTTCTTTAGAGGAAGACGGCGTTGAGGTTCAAATGGATCTACATGAAAGAAATGCTTGCATGAAGAGCAGATAAGTATAACTTCAAGTACAATTTCTCTAAAAAATGAAGTATTGACATTACACTCATAATAATTCTAGTAGGGTCCTTCCAAGTTATTCTGTCTTGAAAACCCAGGAAAAAAAGAACAACTAATTTTCTATACATTTAACACACGTCACGCTATTAACATTTAATATGACCACATTCTCAGCTTACTTGTTTTGTTTTTGGGGTCCGGTCGTGGGGCCTGAACTCTGGGCCTGGGCGCTGTCCTTCAGCTCTTCAGCTCAAGGCTAGCGCTCTACCATTTGAGCCACAGCGCCACTTCCAGCTTTCTTTCTTTTTGCTTATGTGGTGCTGAGGAATGGAACCCAGGGCCTCAGGCATGCAAGGCAAGCGCTCTACCACTGAGCCACCTTCCCAGCCCCTCAGCTTAATTTTTAAGAAGTCCCTTTTTATTACATGTCAGACAGTGGAGCTGAACACAAGGCTTGCATTTCTTTCTGTCTGGGTCTGATACAGGGGCGCGGGTGCCTGACATTTTTGACTCACTGGCTAATACTCTACCAGCTGAGCCACGCCTCCATCCCCAACATTTTCATTTCAACTTGATTTGGTAATTATTAGAACAATGAACTTGGATCAAATTAGGTAGACAACAAGTTTTCTGATGTCTTACATATGATTTAGGGTGCTACCTGCTTTCTTGGAAGAAAATGGTGGGTAGTTTTCAAATGGGATTTCTTTAACTGTTTATTGGGCTACTTCATACATTAGTAGATAACTCAACAGAAACGCACTTGAGCAAAGTCCTTTATTCTAGAAATGCTCATCTTAAATTGTTTTATTAAAGGTTCTATTTACCAAAGTCTAGCCAGGATCCCATCAACAGACTCAAACTAATTTTAATACTAATCTTTGCAAAGCAATGGAAGAAGATAAAGCAAGTAGGAAAAAATTTAAAGCATAAATCAAATCCTTTATTAAACTTTGTTGCTCTGGTAACGCCAATGTTGACCTCTTAGGACAAACAAGAGAATTTGACTTTTATACCTATTTCATAAAGATTTATAAATAGCAATTGCTATAAAATGCCCAGGAAATGAAATTATGAGTCCTTACTTCTACATTTTTACTTCTACATTTGAACTTTGAAGCAAAACAGGCCTCTTATTTAAACTTCCCAAACTAGACTTAAAAGCTCTGGGTTAAAAGTTCTGGGGACCGGTGGCTTGCAACTGCTTCTGTGAACTTGGTTGTTCTGTCTCATGTACAAAATTCTGCCTTAGCTATTGTTTAAAGACTACTTGATTAGAAAAGTGTAAGTTTAGAGCAAGTGTCAAGCCGCTTTTCACAGTGCATTTCCTCTGCTAATGTATGAATCTGTGGATGCACTTTCAATTTAATACAAGCTACTTTCTGAAGCTTTTTGTCAATAAAGTAGGTATGAGGTGACCTCTCTGTTTTGCTCTTAATTCCTAATTCACTGCACATTGGTGGTGATACCATTTTTTATATTTCCTTTTCTATGAAATATCAATTAGTATCTTGTGCCATGTATCAGCAGCAAATAGAAAATTTAAAATGAAAATATTTCAATACCAGAAATGCTCATGTATCTAGGAATATGTAAAACAAAAAGATAGTTGAAATTTCTACAAGAAACTTCAGAATTTACCGAGAATATCAAAAAATACCTAAATACAGTAATACTCTATAAAGATGTCAAATCTCTCCAAACGGATCCAAAGATTCCAAAGAAATTCCTATCCTAGTTTCCAGAAATTTGGTAATATTATTTTAAGAATTACACAAAAGGGTAAGAGGAAACAACAGAGAGGGCTATCGTGATTAAAATATATTCTTGTCTGAAAGACCATGGTGAACCTCCTTAGTACAACTACTTCACAATAAAACAAAACAGGAAAGCCAATCAGGCTGTGTTGGGGAGATGGGGATGAGAAGGGGAAAGTGGTGAATGAGGACAGTAAATTAGGATAAATACAGCAAGTTTATTTGCAACATAAACCAATAATGAAACCTATTTTTGAAGGAGCAACCCACAGGAGAGTGATAAAGAGGGTGATTTTGACGAGGATACATTGTATGTATATACAGAAATGTCACAGCGAACCCAGCTGGCTGTACAGCTGATATTTGCTAATAAAAATAGAAAAAGTACAAGGGTACTAGACTATTAATATCAAGAACATTATTAACGTTTGTTACACAGTGGTATTTGTGCAGGAATAAACAAAATGGCCAATGGACAGAATAAATAAATGAGAAACCAGGTGCCTGTGGCTCATACCTGAAATCCCAGCTACTAAGGAGGCTGAGACATGGGGGATTGAAATATGAGGCCAGTTCAAGAAAAAAAGGATAGAAGACATCTCCTAAAGAATTAGCCAAAGAAGCCAGGCACCAGGGTTTCATGCCTGTTAGTAACTAAGTAGGCTGAGATCTGAGGGTCACATTTTGAAGACAGCTCAGGCAGGAAAGTCCATGAGACTCTCATCTCCAAATACTACCAGAAGTAGAACTGTGGCTCAAAGTGGTAGAGTGCTAACCCTGAGTGAAAAAGCTCAGGGATGGGGCCCAAGCTCTGAGTTCAAGACCCACAACCAAAAAAAATTAGAAAAATTAGCAAAAGAAGTCAGTCTGGAGGCAAAGTTTGTGTGCTACAGTGCCAGCTAAGCCAGCCAGCCAAGGGAGCTCAAGAAATGAGTTCAAACCCCAGTACTGACCCAAAAAAAAAAAAAAAAAAGACACTGAGAAACTGATTCATATAATCATTACATGACAGAAGTATGGCAAATCAACCTAAAGAATATTTTCATATATGAATGAAAAATTTCAAGCTTTTCATAATGAAATAGAACACACATGGAAATATATGTATGTATATGTCACACACGCTTCCAACTGTAAAGATTTATTTTTAAGAAGTTTTACAAATAAAACCATGATGAGCCATATCCCAACTTCTGAAGATATAAGAGAAATGTATCCTGTTCCCAAATTCGTATCACTAAACAAACGTAGAAATGACACAAGTCATCTACTGGAGAAAGCACTGGTCAACCTTCTCTTCTTCTCTTCCTGCAGGGTGAACTACGACAGCACCAGAAGATGGTGTGGAGGGTGTCATGATGGTCAGCTGATAACCCACAGCAGACAAGACGTGAAAAGCAAAGCTGCATTATTTTAAATAGTTGATATTTGTTACTTCAGCTTACCTTGTCTCAACCTGACTCATAATCATCAATGCCTTTGAAATTCCCTTTGTATTTGACCTTCCTTGGTCATAACATAGTCAATGCTTCCCAAAGTGAAACTGATGTTTCATTCTTTTGCTATGCTATCCTTTAGATTTCCTATGTTTCTTTTTCCTCTTCCTCTTCTTCCTCTTTTTCTTCTTGCCAGTTCTGAGGCTTGAACTCAGGGCCTGGGCACTGAGCTTCTTTTGCTCAAGGCTAACACTGTACTACTTAAGGCGCAACACCACTTCTGGCCTTTTCTGTGTCTGTGGTACTAAGGAATGGAACCCAGGGCTTCATAAGTGCTAGGCAAGCACTCTACCACTAAGCCACATTCCCAGCCCTAGATCTGCTATGTTTCTAAAACAACATTATCGGCCTTACATGATTTTTGACCTTAAATATATGGCACCAGAGTACACATTCATCTACAACTTTTTAATTTTACCTATTAGTTGTACAATTATTATGTTCAGCTACTAGATTATGTTTAGCAAGCCTACTTATCCACCTCTCTTAATGGGCTTGTTGTATAGAAACAAGACGGTTAAGAACAATCTGGATCATGTTGCCCAATGCACATGCAGGAGTTTCTACAGAATATTGTCCTATTTTTGCTGGCAATCAATCTAATCTTTCTATGTTCTTTAACTGTATTTTTGATCCATTTATTGGAATTTAACAAATGAGAAACCTAAGATGAAAACAGCTGGTATCTTTAGGCCAATCACTGTATTAGACTATGGCTATCCAGAGATGCTACAATGCTTTCTGTTCTCAAGATAGCAATAGACTAGTGACTCAATGTCCATCCCTCATATTAAGTCTGGGGCTTTGATGTTCACTTTCTTACTATCCTCTACTTATCCCAAATTGCCCAGGTAAGTTAAAATATACTTCTACCTAGCCAACTGTAATTTATATTATTAATATAATGAATTTATACTAAATCTTCTTTCCCCTGACATACTGCTAATAACTCCTGTAACTCTTCCAAAGTCCCATCTAATTCCCTCCCATAGTGAAGTTCTTCCTACTTCTGTGGCCACATCGTGTATACCATCTACTATCACATTATTCCTGATTTGTCTCATTAGGCAATAGCTCTTTGAAGGGTTAGAATAGCTCGTTTGTCTTGGCACCCCTAATCCAGAAGCTAACTCCTAGAATTTGGAAGTGTGATCAGATGCAAGAGTTTCTACACTCGTGACCATCTAAGACATATGAATGGATGAGTCACTCAACTAGACAGTCACCTCACCACATGTAGTAGTAGAACATTTATGAGATAATCTGTACCGTCTTTAGACTAGTCAAAGTTTTGCCAATCTATGTAATCGGCATGGAAGCTCTGTTACTCGTGTGCTCCCTTTGGCACTCATGAGCCCTGCTACTCTCGCGTGTGTGGTACTTTCCCAACGTAGTAAGGAGCATGGCAGGACTTCATTTTATTCACAGATAAATTCCTTAGTGTATTTGGTACCAAGAGTGCAGCATCTTCTCATGAAGAGGTGCTCATGACCAGGATCTCCACACCGACCTCGATGAAACACCAATCACAAGCAAAGCATTAAGGATTCCCCGCCCGCTACATCACAGTAAAAAACGTCCCAACTAGCTCGACAACCGGCCGGTGAGGCCGCGGAGCCGCACAGGTCCTGGCTGACCTACCCAGGGGTGGGTGTGCACACGTGTGCGTGACGTGTGTACATGTAACACACGGTGGGTGGGTGCGTGCACTCGTGTCTATGCACGCGCGCACCGCCTGCGCACACACGTGTGTGACACACCATCTCCCAGAGCCCTTCGGCAGAAACCACCCGGCAACCGCAGCCCGGGCGGCTGCTGCGGGCGCCCCGCACACCGCGCCCCGCGCCG